TAGGGAAGATGAACTGTTCTCTGACATTCTTATAATCCTCCTCTGAAATAGTAAGGGACACACTTTTCATTACCATTTCCCATGTTAAAATATTCCTTTGATCTTTGGTCTAGACATTAGATTGGAAAGAAAATCATCAAGAAGCGTTTGCATGGTATGACATGATATTGGTAATTCACTAACACAAGTTCCTCTCCTTGAATCAGTACTACATCAGTGACCCGATTTAATGAAATCAAAGTTTTGTATAAGGTTGACACCTATGAGATGCCAACACAGGTTTTGATAACTTGTTTTCTTTAAATATTGCACAATGCAGAGGAGACTGGATTGTAACACATTAATAATGCAGTCACAGCTGTATTTAACCACAGTTTTTGGCTTTTAAACTAACTCTGTTTTTAAAAGAAAAGATTACAATCCCTCTGTACAATGTGTCACAGACATCATTTGCACTCTAGCAACACAGTGCTCTGGTCCTCCAAAGCAGAGTACAATTTTCTCTATGCCTGTGCTTTTTCCATCTCTAAAGTGGGAGCGCTATGCTCTGTGATTCTCACTGAAAGCACTGTACATGCCATTTGTGTAGTTGTATGCGAGAGGGCTTTCCTGAAAGGAAGCGCGCTCAACACCCTTTAATCATGGCAGCGCTAAGCTGAGAATGTCAAAAACTATGTGTCGCAGTGGGTTCAATATTTAACGACACAAGTTCTTTTAGTGTTCTCACTATATTACCTGGGACAAAGCTATGGAAGTTGGAGGGAACAGCTTCCCAAGCTTCTTCAGTTAATGAATAGTAGATGTAATTCAGTTTATTTTAAAGTTGTTACTATGATTTATTCTTAGTGCCATTTTGGTTTAAATTACTGGAAACTGAAAGGAGCACCATACTTTATCAGTTTAAACTTTAAGTTGAATTACACTTCATGCAAAGGTTCGTTAAATCTCTTTCTAGAAAATGCCAAGATAATGTAAAGGTGATTAGGATCTTCCTTTGAAAGCTTTGTGTAATAGCCAAATCTGCAGAAACTCATTGCAGCCTGAACAATAACCTTATCTCACCAATAATCCTAAAAATATCGACAGACAATATATAAAGGAGGCATTTCTTCCTTGTGCACAGCAGACATTTTTCTAGTATATAATATATCTGCCAATCTTTCCTTGTATTATACAGCTCCCAAAAATCAATTCGGCTTTCCTGCTGCTTTAGTACTTTCACCCAGGTTTCCTCAATTACGGTATCTTCTCTAGATCTGAGCGCTTTTGTTAGCTTTACTGTTTTGAATCCTTTTTTCCCCTATCAGGAATTATTATTCTGCAAGCTCTGGTGATTCACTTTAAATTTCCTTTCCTTTCACTGAAAGCACTTCCTAAACTGCTTCTCTTTATATAAATAACCACTGACAGGCTCTCTTTAAACCAAGTCTAAATCACTTGTGAACTAAATTGTTTTTGAAAAGTCCTAGGGAAAATATTTCCAGATTGGTTGGGTGCACTCATGGAAAAAAGGTTTTGCTTCAAATTTTCTTTGAGGCAGGCTTATACTCAAGAGTTATACTGGTTCTAGCATGGACTAAATAGGAGCTCCCATTTAAAAGATACTTCCAAATTCTTTGATCCAGGTTAAAAGTACTGGAGTGGGAAGGTTCCAATTCCACTTCAAAAAGGAGAACAGGAGCGACAAAAAGGTTCCAGCACCTTGCTTGCCGGCTGCCAACATACAAGAAAGAGACCATTGCGTACAAAATGGTTCAGCTCAAATAGAAAAACAATTTATAGGACCCAACTAAGAAATTTAATTAAATAGATGCTTAATTCATCCCGGTCAGACAACAAGCATCTGCTTAATCTTATCATAAGCATATGTATATGAGTTTCCCTGAACAAGAATCCACTCCTGAAACAATACCTAAACCTTAGAAAGTTTACTGGAG